CCCCCCGCCCCGCGCCCCTCCCGCGGTTTGGGAAAATGTCGAATACGCCAAAAGGTGTCCCCCTCGATATAAACGAACACGTCTTTTACCGTTTTTCGAAATTCCGACGCGTTCGGCAGATATTCAAGGTGGCTCCTATTAACGTCCTTTAATCCATCGTGGTATAGCGATGAGTGGAACAGGGTTCAACCCATGGGCAGTGACCGATCCAGCAGTAGCGAAAAACAGGACTTTGACTCTCGCTAAACTGGTAGGCTGCCCGTCTGAATCCTCGAACAAACTTTTGAAATGCATGCAGAATGTCTCCGTCGAGAAACTCATCCAAATGGCCAAAACCCTATTCGTAAGTTAATAACTTGTGAGGTAAAAATAACAACCACTTTTAATGTGAACAAGGACAAATGTTCGATGGCTGTATAATCACCCCGCATTTTAGTCGTACCTCCTTCTACCCGCTTTACTAAGAAGTTATTTTTACAACGCGGAAGGGGAGAGAGGTGTTAAACAGTTTTTTTTATTGTTTTTTTTTTTTTTTTTTTTTTTTTTTTTTTTTTTTTTTTTTTNTTTTTTTTTTTTTTTTTTTTTTTTTTTTTTTTTTAAAGTTACAAGTTGTCGTTTCCCCACACAGTAGAACGTAACTACGTTTGAATGTTGCAGAATTTTCCCTCTAAAATTGCGTTTTCACCCGGAAAATCTTGGGCATTTCTCATTGAGAATGTCACTGAATATTCTTCAGATCTCGTCCAGAAATCGGAAAAATTCAGGACAAAAATTGCAGAGGGAAAAAAATTTAATATTTTAAGTAAATTTTGCAACCTCGGAGTGGAGTTACGTTCTTTCGTCCGAGAAACGATGAAGTAAATGCGTCGGGACTGTAGCTTCAGGGAAAGATGTAATAATGGTGACCTTCTCACGGTTATTGTTGAACATATTTTCCACTTCTAACATGCATGAAGTTTACTTGTCTTTTCCTCAAAATTTATATTCGGAGTTCCCTGGAAAAAAAACAAGAGTCCAGACTATTGAAAACATTTACAAGAAAAAGGACTCTTGATTAAATCAGATATAAGCTTAAATCAAAAGGAAATCCGCTCAAATTAAGAGGCTTGGTTCTTGATTTAAGCAAAAATCCGATTGAATGAAGAGTATTTTTTCTTGTCGATGTTTTTAAGAGTCTAGACTCTAGATCCAATGTGTTTTTTTCCCAGTGTTCATGAAAAGTAAAAGTAGTTATATCGGGGAATAGTTTTTCAAATGAAAAAGTTTGTTTCAATATCTGTGTGGTAAAACTTGAAATAATAGCGCAAGCAGTCTACGTCATTACCATGAGTCAACCTTTTCGTTGATTTGACAGCGTAATGACTGAACAGTCTTATTGTTTACTTGAAAAGTAATTTCACCGAGAATTGTCATATTATCGAAGAAAGCACGACCAAGACTTTATATCCTCCTCGTGCTAGGCGTTTCCAACCGGGCTTAATTTAGATAACATTAATGACAAGAGCTGTTCCACAAACTGCATGCATATTACATCGGCAAATTCTGTCTGTACCTACCTACTCATATTTTAAAATGACGTTAATGGTGTCACCAATACAAGGTCCTTTGGCGCTAGGATATCGATATTCCTTACTATTATTTGGACGTATTTCTGCCAAACGGAACTATGCGCATTATGACGTGAGCCCTGTTATGCATACAGGGTGTCTCACGAAAAACGAGCCACCTTGAATATCTGCCGAACGCGTCGGAATTTCGAAAAACGGTAAAAGACGTGTTCGTTTATATCGAGGGGGACACCTTTTGGCGTATTCGACATTTTCCCAAACCGCGGGAGGGGCGCGGGGCGGGGGGTGCCCTACCCGTAAGTCGAACTTTTCAAATGGCACCCCTACTTTTTTATTTCAGAAACCAATTCTACGCAAAAAAACAAGCCACCCTGTCCAAACCGAATGTAAATCGGACAATTTTTCAGTGATTGACAGAGTTTGAAACATTTTTTTCATGCTCTTTTCAAAAATTTCCCACGCCCAATGGAATTGCTGTATCAAACCAAACTCTCCGCCAAAAAAATTCTTAAACATTGCACTTTCGATAAAAAAATAAAAAAAATCTGCTGCCTTCGAAATCTGGAGCACGCGGAGCCCTTCTTTGCGACATTAAAATTCGTTATACCGAACATTTCCGAAAGCCGGAGCTTAAATCAAATAATACGTTCAGAAAGGTACAGATGATTTGTGCCTTTTGTGCACTAACATCGATTTGAGCCACCACAAATCACGATACGGGAATCGATTGTTTCTATACAGAATGATCGTTAACTGTCACAAGTTTGTGGCATTTTAAGTCATGTACTAGTACCCGAAGACTGGAAAAATCGGAAACAAGTAGGGAAATATTTAGGTTCCACTATATTTTAAATTGTATAGGCCATAACAGAAGAACATATCGACGGTGAAACTACCAAACCACGTATCTCGTTTGCGGTGTTTAAAAATCTACACTCACATTTTATTTTTTTGAAGTAGACCAAATCAATATCATTCCTTGAAGTTTTCACGGAATTTTCTCCGCACAAAGAGGAAAAATCACAGAAATTTTCAAGACTGGATGTTAAGTAGTTTTTCATTTAAAAAATAAAGTATGACAGGAAGTCTGCGACGTCGCAAACCGAGATACGTGGTTTGGTAGTTTCACCGTCGATATCACTATTGTCATTCGCATGTGAGACGTATAAACCGACTTATCGATGGTGAAACTACCAGACCACGTATTTCGTTCTCGGTGTTTAAAAATCTTCGCTCCCGTTTTACTTTTGTAAAGGAGAGCAAACCGATATGATTCCTCGAAGTTTTCACAGATGTTTCTTCACACAAAGAAGAAAATTCACGGAAGTTTTCAGGAAAAGTCGCTGAGTAGTTTTCAATCTAAAAAATAAAGTATTACAAGGAGTCTACGACATCGCAATCTTAGATACGTGGTCTCATAGTTCCACCGTCAATACAAAACAAGTGTAATTGAAATCGCATGAGATTCGTAGTTATCATGAAAAATAGTACCTACCTTTATTGCAAAATCAAATCTTCAGGTGAATACAAGCTAAAGACACCTCTGGGACTCAACAAGCAACTAGAAACAGAAAAGTATTAGGATCGTGAAAAAAGCGCGAAAATCGTGCGTTATTTCGTGCATGAAATTTCCATATTATAATTTTTATGTGTTCCATAACTCTCTGCAATTCAAATAAACACTGCACAAGTGTCAAGTGCGTGATATAAGTTGTTTTAAAAAACAGATTACACGACTTAAGTAAAAAATAAAGGAGCTCTTAATACAAGTCCATGCAAAATTATTCAGCCTATTGTCAATACATCATGTTTCATACACTGATATCATAATATCTTTCCACACATGTTTCGAACACGAACTTTCTTTCACTGTTTTCATTTATCATTTAGTTGTTTTTCTTTTTTGCTAGATTTTAAATTTTGAATGTAATAAGAGGCGCAAGTATAATTTTTAGTGCAGACTTACAGTCTCAGGAATTTAACTTCAGCTAAAAGCACAATGCATTCACAATATTCTCATTTTTCTCTCTTACAAAACTATGTTTTTGAACATCAAATTTTACGTAAACCACGGTGGCACCAGTTTTGGTTTGGATTTTGACAGCTGCTTACAACAATTTTGGGCCAAAATTGTCATAAAAAAAATTAGCTGAGTAATGTTACAAATATTCCAATTTTGCAATTTTTGGTACTAAGGTCCTTTTTCTCGTGGACGATAAAAAATAAATGCAATTGTTGATTAAAAAAAAGGATAACTGATAATTACATTTGTAGGGTGACGTGTTATGCTTTTTGAAGATAATTTCATGGCTGTTGAATGTAGATGGTGAGAGTATATGAGCAGCTAGTATACGTGACTCAATTATGGTATATCCAACTTTCTGCTCTTATTTTTTTCTGTCGAATATATAAAAGG